GTTAGAACTGTGGCACCAATTAAAGCCAGAGCAGCAGTTCCAGCCACTGAGGTCCAGGACATGGAAGACAGAGGCAAAGCCCCATGTCTGGACTGTGTCCCTGCAAGACTTCCTGGGGAACAGCAGTCAGGCTCTGCCTGAGCCCTCACCCCCAAAGGACAATGATTGGGCATTGTGGTTTGACTGAGGGGAGGGTAAAGGACCAACGTGGTGGGGACCAGAGGCCACATGTAGAATTAGCAATTAATTGGTCCCCTGTGAATGTACAATGTGTCCTGGTGCTGGTGGACACAGGAGCTGATTGTACTTTGATTTATGGCAACCCTGAGTGATTTCTTGGGACCCCTGCTGATAGATGGCTATGGGTGTAAGGCAATTAGATAGAAGAAAGCCCAAATCCCATTGGGGATAGGGCATTTACCCCCAAAGGAGTATACTGTTTACATTTCTCCCATCACTTGAATATATTTTGGGGGGTTGACATCCTACATGGCCTGTGGTTACAGACCACTGCAGGTGAGTTCAGACTGAGGGTATGTGTGGCAAAGGCAGTTCTGAGGTGACATGCTAAGCACCTACCTGTAGCTCTGCCTGTACCTTGGCAAGTGACAAATACTAAGAAGAATAAATTGCCTGGGTGGCACAAAAATTGAAGAAACTCTACAGGATTTGAGAAGGTGGGCATCATAAAGCCAACTCATAGTCCTTTTAATTCTTCAGTGTGGCCAGTGAAAAAGCCAGATGGCTCCTGGCATATGACCTTGGACTACAGGGAATTGAATAAAGTCAAAGCCCCTTTCCAAGCTGCTGTACCCTCTATAGCAACCCTTATGGACACACTAAGTCATGAACTAGGGATGTATCATTATGTTGTGAACCTTGCTAATGCTTTCTTCTCCATTGACATAGCACAGGAAAGTCACAAACAGTTTGCCTTCACGTGGGAAGGCCGGCACTGGACATTCACTGTCTTTCCACCGGGATACCTCCACAGTGCCATCATTTGTAGCCCAAGACTTGGCCACATGGAAGAAACCACAAATGGAGCAACGGTATCACTACATTGATGATATTATGCTCACATCTGATTCTCTTGCAGATTTAGAAGGGGCTGTTCCTAGACTGCTGCAACATCTACAGGAGAAAGGATGGGCTGTGAACAACACTAAGGTTCAGGGACCTGGTTTGTCTGTAAAATTCTTGGGAGTTGTCTGGTTAGGTAAAACTAAAGTTATTCCTGAAGCAGTCATAGACAAGGTCCAGGCTTTCCCTACCTCCACTGCTGTGGCAGTATTACAAGAGTTTTGGGGCCTTTTGGGCTAATGGAGAGTGTTTATCCCACACTTGGCAGAAATTCTGAAGCCTTTATACTGGTTGGTATGAAAGGGCATCAAGTGGGACTGGGATGAGACATATGTAGCTGCTTTTACTGCTGCTAAGCAGGCAGTCAAGGCCATACAGTCCTTGAGTGTAATGGACTCATCAAGGCCCTGTGAGCTAGATGTTCATGTAACCAAAGATGGTTATGGATGGGGTCTTTGGCAGCGGCTTGAATGGACACACCAACCCATTGGATTCTGGTCACAACTAAGGAAAGGAGCAGAGGTCTGGTATACCTTGATTGAGAAGGAACTGGCTGCTGTGTACCATGGTTTGCTGGCTACAGAGCCCATCACCAGAACAGCTCCAACCAAGGTAATAACCACCTATCCAACTGTAGGGTGAGTGCAAGACTGGATTCAAAGGCCATGGAGTGGCATGGCATAGATGCCTACACTGGCTAAATGGGGTGCATATTTACAGCAGAATAGCACCCTCTCTACTAGCCCCTTAAGTGGGGAGTGCCCAACACTTATTGTGGCCTGTGACGTATACCAGTGGAAAGCAGAAAGAACTTGCTTTTGAGCCATTGGTAGCCAAGAGTCCTTATCAGGATGGAAAAGCCCCTATACCTGAAGATGCTTGGTATACAGATGGCTCCAGTTGTGGGCAGCCCCCAAAGTGGAGGGCTGTGGCTTTCTATGCTGAGATTGAGACAATATGGTTGGAGGATGGAGAGGGGAAGAGGCAGCCATTGGGCTGAGTTGAGGGCAGTATGGCTCATGATCACCCAGGAGCTCTGCCCAATAGCTGTCTGCACTGACAGCTAAGCCGCCTATTGGGGCTTGACCCAGTGGCTACTGACATGGTACCATGCCAACTGGATGGTTGGTTGCCAGCCCCTTCAGGGGTAAGAGTTGTGGCAATAACTATGGACCTCTGGTCAGACTAAGACTGTTACTGTATATCATGTGACTGGCCATTTGCCTTTTGCATCCCCGGGGAATGATGAAGCAGATACAGTGGCCCAGGTGCATTGGCTAGAAGGAAAGCCTGCCTCTGATGTAACCCAATGGTTACCTCAGCATTTGTTGCTCATGGGGAAAAGAAAATGTGGGCTGTAGCCCATCCATTGGGCTTTCTGTTGACCTTTGAAGAAGTCAGGTGAGCCTGGAAGGAGTGCCTTGTGTGCTCTATGAGGGACTTACACCGAGTCCCGCACCAACATGGGACAATAGTAAAGGAGCCAATACCTCTTGTCAGGTGGCAGGTAGACTACACTGGGCCTCTGCCCATATCAGAAGGCTATCGGTATGCCATGACTTGTGTAGACACAGCTACTGGTCTGTTGGTTGCTTTTCCTCCATGTCATGCAGATCAACAAACCACCAAGAGCAGCCTAGAGCGTCTCCTTGCAGCCTATGGCCAGCCACAGGTGACTGAGAGCAATCAAGGCACCCACTTTACTGGACATGGGTTACAAGAATGGGTGCAGCAATTAGGAATAAAGTGGAGGTTTCATGTACTATATAACCCTACTGGGGCAGGCATGATAGAGAGATACAACAGTTTGTTGAAATCTGGCCTGAAGTTGGACACCAACAGTCTACAGGGCTGGTCAGTTCACTTAGGGACAGTGCTACCGTGTTTGAATGAGAAGTCCCGAAAAGGAGCCTTGAGCCCTGTGGATATGCTAACACACCTTGCTGCCTCTCCTATACAACTGTATGTGCAAACTAAAGAGGAGTTATTGAGGCCAGGGTATAGCCAGCAGAGCAACATCCTGCTGCCAACCCCTACTGCCTTACACCCTGCAAACACTGTTGAGTGGATGCGGCCCTGGACATTTTGACACATGGACCAGCGATGGCTGACCCTTCTGGCACCTTGAAGGAAAGGCCTGGAAGCCAGACTCCCGTGTGTTCCTGGATTAACAGCACAGTGGCCCCCAAAGTTCATGGTAGTGTATCCAAAACGTCCAGGAGATAAGAGCATCTTACAGCAAAGTTTTGTTTTATCTTTATGGCCAGTGCATGTACCTTTTGTAGCCCTATATATTGACCCATCTGTAACTCCTGTAGGATCTGAAGAATCAAAAGTTAGCATAAGTACAGCCATCTTAAAGGCTTAAATACCACCCCCTAACCTAGAAGGAGGAAAATTATTAGAATCTTGAAAAACAAGTTAGTCAGCCAGTGTTAAATGTAGTGACCTTTAATTAGCTGACCTCAAATCAGTTAATCATATACAGCAAGCTTATCTTACTAGAACCACCCTAAACATTCCGAAGGTAATCTTATCTAACCAGACCCCAGGATGTGGCCCCAGGCAAAGATTTATGTGTCTATGAAAAAACACTGTATTGTGATTGTGGAAAATGTTGCCCCCTTTGAAAATGCTATAAAACCTTCTGGCTTTGTGTGCTCAGGGTCCTTGTTGAGACCCGCTGCGTCGGGCTAACTTGGACCCCAGCTAGCTGGTTCCTGAATAAATTCCTCTTGCTTATTGCATCAAGAGACGCCTTTCGTGAGTGATTTGGGGTGGCGTCCTCCTCTGGGAAAATCCAACACTCCCACAGGGAGGGTGGTGAAAGTCTGGTATACTAGACCAGGAAGAGATCCCATTCCTGCCACTATTCTATCACAGGACCACTCTCTTGCATGTATCCTATGTGAGGGACAGGATTTGCCTATGCTGGTGTCATCAAAACATGTATGTTTTTGCTCCTAAGGTTATTTTTTTCTACATTCCCTGTGGCCTGGATGTGCCCCCTGGCTGCAGCTGCCACGTGATGATTGTTCTGAACTCCCTACCTGTTCAGCTACTGACAGCTTGTGGAATGGGTGAGTTATGGACTTAATCTGCCTAGGACTTTGAATTTAGCTGAATCTTTTGGCTTGAGGATTATCATGATTTTATGTTATTAGTCTGGTTACAATGCTCCAGTTTTCTAGCAGGGAATGAGTAGATTGTGAGGGGAGATTTCTGGAGGGGTGGCCTGTGGGTAAAATTGGAATGTTTCCAGAATCTCTCACCTGGCTTTAGTTCATCTCCATATCAATGGTGTTTCCAAGGGGTGGAGAGAAGTAGCCATCTCCATATCAATAGATAATTACATGGGCAAGGGAGGGATTATCTGGACTGCAGAGGTTGGGTGGAGCTCTCTCTTCTGCAACCAGGTCTGGAGAGATACAGGACTACTGTTTGTAAGACATAACCGGGTTTCTCCCACTTTATTTCTCCCTTATACTGATTTCAGTTTCAAAGGTATTTTGCTCCGGGATTTTCCCCCTGGAGTTACAAAGTTGTTGTTGACTCTGTATAAAGAGCTCTACCCAGTGCTCTGGGCAACACAGTGGCATGGCTGCATAGCTGCAGGAGAGGAGAGGTTGGAGCGGTGGCAGCACCAAGGACAGAGACTGAGACGGCTGCTGGGGCAGAGAGGCCCAGAGGCAGAGACTGGCTTGTTACATGTAGACTTGCTCGGAATGGACGGGATTCTAGTGATTGACTTGCCACCATGGGAATAAAGTTGGGTATAAACCCTTTCACCCCAAGAATGTTCCATTGTCATATTTTGGTCTCATTGAATCCATAGTGAACTTGCTCGATGCTGAAACCCATTGGCAAGACACTGCTCCTTTAATTACATCTTTATCTTCTTGCTAATCTTCCCTCTTTTTAGATAAGATTTATTGAGATGTCCAATTATAGAGTTACTCCTGCTTCCTGACAACACCCAATCCAGAGCAAAACCCTCTCCAAAATCATACTTAAGTCCAAATTCTGAAATGCCTCATGATTCTCCATGGTGTGCGTTCTCCTTCCCTGCAATGAGTAATCATACATTACCTCATTTTTAACCCACAAGGCAGAAATTGTTATCATCACCATTTTGCAGATAATGAAACTAAGAATTTAAATTAGTTTCCCAAGACTTCCCAGCTAGCAAGCAGAGAAACCCAGAAAAGAACCCAGGACTTGTTCTTTGCAGTATGTCATGCTGGTTTTAAGAGTGTGCTTAAAGGGAGAGTCTATTATGCTCCTACCGCTCCTGCCAGTTCTACTCAATAAAATTTCATGGTCCGGTAGGTTGCATCTCACTCTTAGTTGACATGTTGGTGTATCATCCCCTCCATGGTTATTCTTGACCACTTTGAGTGCTATCATTAACCTCACTCACAGTAGTTGCTCATTAAATTGTGTGTGCGTGTGTATACTGTGGGTAGGTGGGTTGTGATGGATGCTGATGTGCTCTGTGATTGATCCCAGTACCTGCACCTGGTTCCTAGAAGCGCCCAGCCACAGCTGCACAGAACAAAACCAGGCAAACTTCCCTCCAGGCCCTTTCCAGGCTGAATAGCTGAGGAGCTCCAGGTGGCTGAGCTGGCCTGGCGAGGCTGGTAGCTCAGTGCAGGGGTTGTGCAGGGAGGAGCCAGAGTGTCCCCTGGGGAGCTTCTTACTATTTCATGCTGACAGTGGAGAATTGGCCGTCAGTCACCCAGCAAGGAGGAAGTGGATTCTTCCTGCTGACAGCCTACAGCCTGCCTTGTGCTGGGCACAAGGAGGTTCAGAAGGGATATAAGATATGGCTTCTACCCTGGGGCACTTAGCTTAGCCTCCCCCTAGGAGACTGCCTCCTCCTCCTCTTCCCTCCCTTGCATTGGAAGCCCTCCTCTAGGGAGGGGGCAGAGGAGCCACCGCTGTGGCACAAGGGGCAGTCGAGACCACCCTCAGATGCACAAGGGTGAGCAGCCACTGAGCTAGGCATGTCTGCCCTAGGATAAGTACCAGTCAAAAACGTCTCAAGGGGTGGGAAGGAGGGCAAAAGGGAGGGAAGCAAAGAACAAAGTTGCAGCCATTTTTGTGCAGTGGGGATTTAGGGCCAGCAGTCTGAAATGCATGTTGCAGGAGCAGGGGAGTTGCCTGGAGGCTGCATCCACTTAAAGGTACTGTAATTCGGATCATACTTTCATCTGGGGTGGCTTGGTGAGCAGGTGGCAGCTTACCGCAGTAAAGTAGAGTTGAAACTGCTCTTAGCCACCCCTGCTTTCAGGTGTGATTAGAGGTACTCCTTCCCTGTGCTAGCAGACAACAGAGGAAGCCAGACACATGGGACCAAAAAGGAGGGTCTGGGGTCTTGATAAAGGGCCGGCAGGAGGCAAACTATTTAGATATAGTGTCTCCTTCCTGAGAATAGACTGGGACAGTGGCTGTTTATGAACTGTGCCAGGACCTTCCTACAAGGGCACTGTGGCCAGCAGTCAAAGAGGGTGTGCTGTGTAGAGCCATGTGTAAGGGTTTCAAGGACCAGGGGTCCTCTCCGCACAGAATCCAAGTCTAGCATGCTGCCTTGTTCATGGCTGCCCTTTACTAGAGAATCAGAGAACATTTGCGCATCTCCATTCATGATGTAAGAGGCGAGTAGAATGATTACAATGATCCATGGCATTCTTGAGATTCAATTCTCTAGGCTTTGACCTGGAAGGTGAGGGTGGAGTGCTGACTTGGTCCATCTGGACTTCCATTCTCTTGTTTATCCCACAACCACCAGAGCCACCAGCCCAGTTTCTGCTCCTCCTCTTAGGGAGTCCCAGTCCCAATAAAGATAGAATGCTTCTTTCCCTGTCCCGAGCATCCCAGCTGACACAGGCTGGCATGTTAAAAAAAAAAAGAACCTCCCTCTCTCCTCTCTCCAAATAGGAGTTAACAAATAGTGAAGAAAGTATCAATAACATAAAATGGAAACATCTGCAAAGCACTGACACATTTTATGGGTGTCCCTCACTGGGAGGAGAGTGGTTTCCCAGAACACATTTTAGAGGATGCCAGCATCACTGGGTGTTGAAAGGTGTCATGTAAAGAAGAGGGCTCTGCAGGCAAATAGGGTTGGGAAAGGCTGGGTTAGCCACCATTAAAAATTAAAAATGTTTCTGCTTTGAGACTTCTCAAAACCTCTAATAATGTTAGTGTGCATGACGGTCTCTAAAAGATGAAGGGAACAGAGTCTGTGGCTAGATGCCATTTATCAAGTACTTACTGTATGCCAGGCTCTGAGTTAAGGGCTTCACATGTATTAATCCTTGTGGACACTTCATTACATAATGTAGATGCTACTGTTCTCTTCATTCTACACATGAGGAAATTGAGGCACAGACAGGCTAAGTAACCCATCCAAGGGCACAAACTGGTAATCAGCAGAGCTGATACTTTGGGAAATTGTGCTAGAGAGCATCAGATCAGAGACTGTACAGATGCTCACCAAATCCATTTCCTCTTCTTATAGCGCCTACCACCAAATTACATTTCCCAGGCTCCCTTGCAATGAGGTGGTCATCCTTACCTTTGAAATGTGAGCAGAGGTGATGTGCATCCCCTCCAGGCTGTGGCAGTTTAGATGGGTATGCCTGCTCCACCTTCTCTCTTTTCCCTCACCTGTTGGTAGAACACAGAAGATCTAGTATAGGACTTCAGGGTCATAAAGGTGGTGAAGGCACACTGTGAAATGAATTACGGTCCCTGAGTGGCTGTGTAGATTAGTGCCCACCAGCTCAGCCCACCGTCACTCTTTCCAAGCAGCATTGGACTGTGACATGTGTAAAAAATAATTGTTGATTTCACATTAAATCACCAAGATTTGGGGACTGTTAGCTACAATATTTATTCTGTCCTATCCTGACTGAACATAATCAAAAAATTCTTTTTTCCTAGAACATTTCCTGGGACAAATATTCTGAGGAGTTTAGGTGAGGAATGGCTATGTAGTAGAATGAATACCAGCTTCAAAAATAAGTCGGATTCAAATGTCAGTTCTGCAATGGGTGTGCAACTTTGGGCAGGTCATCTAACTTTTCTGAGCATCTGTTGCCTAATTTAAAAGGAGATAATAATGCCAAACTTAGTCATTGTGAAGATTATGTGAGATCATGTACAGAAAGTGCCTGGCACACTGACACACAGTAGGTGCTCATAACTATTATCACTACAGGAAAGCCAAGGCACTCTGCCTGACACATAATCCTAAGGACCTAATAAATAGTGATACTCTTTTTAAAATTCCTTCCCACATCCTCAGGGCTTAAGGGCTGGCTTAGCTTGGCAAGTACCTTGTCTGGATTTCTACCCTCCCAGCTCCCTCCCATGCTGTGTCTCCTTGGCAGCACCTTCCTCTACCTTACCAGCACTGCTGGCCCATGCTCCAGCCGCATCCTATCCCAGACATAAGCCAAAGCCCTGAGGGAAACAACTCTCTACTGAGGACCTGCCTTTTTAAACGGCCTTCTGAGGTGAATAATGCCCCTTTTCCAGACTCTAGTCCTCAGCTCCAACCTCCTCTGGAGCCCTCTGAGCTGACTCCGATGGCTGGGTTGGGCCAGGGCTATGCTGCCAGCCTCCACTCCCAGTGTCCAATCTAATGCTCCCTTCAGTGTGTGGAGACCAAATGTGATTTCTTAAGGTATCAGTCAACATGGTACCCTGAATCCTGCAAAGGGGTATGCCCAGGCCCCAGGAAGACCAGAAATTGCAACAGCTATGGGTAGACAGCTGGTGAGTGGGGCATTGGGAGGGTGGAGTATGTCTGCTGCAGAGCGAATTCTGGTGGCAGGGAGTTCCTTGATCTGTGGTGATATGTGATGACTTTGGGCAGTGATCCAGAAAATTTAATCCACACGAACTCACTTCTTCCTAGAACAGGCAGAACACGTTTCTTGCGTCCTGCCCAGCTCCAGAGCCCTCATAATCTCCTCAGACCAAAAAAAAAAAAAGAAAAAAAGAAAATGACAAGCTCAGCTATTTTTAATTCCCTGCTTCTTCAAATTTGTCCTGGATCTCTCAACTGTTTTTCCTCTTCCCTCCATCCTGGAGTTTTCATTGATTTGAGACTCTTATTCCTTTAGGCTGATCAACTTCCTGAGGTAACCACTTTGGTGGATGTCAGTGCAGAGCACACTCTTGCTGGGGGCACAGAGGAGACGCCTTCCCTCTTCTGCTGTGGGCCATGAGCTCCTCCCCAGCTACCTTTGGTGTTTCCTGCTGTTCTTTACTAGGAAGCTCAGGGGTGCTTAACCCCCAGCCCCAGTCTAGAGCATTCTGCACACTGCATGAAGTAGCCCACTGGGCCTCAAGCCCTCAGAGAATAACCATGTTGGGACCCTTTCACAGGTCTTCAAGGCTCCGTGGCAGATGACACTGGGCAGCGGAGGCTGAGCTGAGGATTCCTGGAGAGAAACCTTTAGAAGGTGCCACAGCATCTAGTAAGAACCTCTGGCACCTTGGGCAGACTAAAATGACATCAATAGCAATTGTTTGGGGGTAGGGGGAACAGGAACAACACATTCTCAAAGAGCAGATAAGCTCTGGCCTCAGAAGGCACGGCTGGCCCAGGGACGCCCATGGGCCACCTCATCCAGTCTTCACTTTATGGTGGAGAATGGGGAAGGTAAAATAATTACCATGGCTCATACTTACTGAGTACCTAGAGTATGTCCAGCACTGTTCTAACCACTCTGGAGACAATAATGGGTTGAATCCGTAAAATACCCCCTATAAGGAAGGCATTGTTATTATCCCCATTTTAAAGGCAAGGCAACTGCCTCTAAAGAGACAGGTTACACTGATGGTAGGATAAGAACCAAGGTTTGAACCTTGACAATCTGCCTCCTAACCCCATGCTCATAACTGCCTGGCTAGAGTGCCTGTGTGTAGAAAAGCCTCCTCCCCTGTACTCCACCTCCTGATTTAGTCCTTCTCCACTTAGTTCCCTATGCCTGGGGGTTTTATATGCCTCAGAAAAAATCCTACAGTTTTGCTGTGGTAAGGCCCTGGGCCAGTGAGGCCTTAGGGCTCAGAGTAGGGAGCTGCTCCTAGGTATCCAAGATGGGCCAGGAAAAGAAAAGAAGGAGGGTAGCTAAATCAGATGTTTGCAAAAGGAAACAGCTAGCAAAGTAACTGGAGGGTGGGAGAGAATCCCCTCCCCTCTCCAGGCAATACAAATGCTCCCTCCAGTCCCCAAGTCCAGCCAAACACACACACACACACACACACACACACACGCATGCACATTCATACACACATACTTCTGTGCTCAATTATTCCAGCAGAAGGGCAGAGCAGAGCAGCCAGAAGAGATTGCTTGTTAGTGAGGAGCTTGGCAAATGTGCCCTCCAGCTCTGCTTTTGAAAGAGGTCAGAGAGCATTGGGGGCTGGGCAATATGCAGAACTCCCTGGGCTTGGAGCACTCCTTGCAAGGGCAGACGGCAAGGAGACACTGGCTGTCCTACAAGATGGGCTTATGACCAACTCTGTGAGCAAAGCTTGGTGGATAGCCTCCAGGACTCCCAATCAAATCCTAAGGATGCATTCTGGAAACTTCCTAAGGCAGACTGGAAAGGGATATTCAGAGGAAGTCTTTATCCCTCTTGACTCAGCTTATCCTGCAGGACCCCCTCCAGTGGGCAAGTGCAGACAGTGCTCAGTGTCCGTCAGTTCCCTAAGCTTTTACCTCCTCTGCATAAAAGTGCAGTGCTGGTCAAATCTAAAGTCTGCAATAGCAATAAGTACATACCTATCAATAATCACCCTAAATGTAAATGGACTGAACGCACCAATCAAAAGACATAGAGTCACTGGATGGATAAAAAAACAAGACCCATCTATATGCTGCCTACAAGAGACTCACTTTAAACCCAAAGACATACACAGACTAAAAGTGAAGGGATGGAAAAATATATTTCATGCAACTAATAGGGGGAAAAAAGCAGGAGTTGCAGTATTTATATCAGACAAAATAGACTTCAAAACAAAGAAAGTCACAAGAGACAAAGAAGGACATTACATAATGATAAAGGGGTCAATCCAACAAGAAGATATAACCATTATAAATATCCATGCTCCCAACACAGGAGCACCTACATATGTGAAACAAATACTAACAGAATTAAAAGGGGAAATAGAATGCAATGCATTCATTCTAGGAGACTTCAACACTCCACTCACTCTGAAGGACAGATCAACCAGACAGAAAATAATTAAGGAGACAGAGGCACTGAACAACACATTAGAACAGATGGGCCTAACAGACATCTATAGAACTCTACATCCAAAAGCAGCAGAATACACATTCTTCTCAAGTGCACATGGAACATTCTCCAGAATAGACCACATACTAGGCCACAAAAAGAGCCTCAGTGAATTAAAAAAGACTGAAATTGTACCAACTAGTTTCTCAGACCACAAAGGTATGAAACTAGAAATAAATTACTCAAAGAAAATGAAAAAGCGCACAAACACATGGAGGCTTCACAACATGCTCCTAAATAACCAATGGATCAATGACCAAATAAAAACATAGATCAAGCAATATATGGAGACAAATGACAGCAATAATTCAATACTGCAAAACGGGCGGTACGCAGCAAAGGCCATGCTAAGAGGAAAGTATATTGCAATACAGGCCTATCTCAGGAAAGAAGAACAATCCCATATAAGCAGTCTAAACTCACAATTAACAAAACTAGAAAAAGAAGAACAAGTGAGGCCCAAAGTCAGTAGAAGGAGGGACATAATAAAGATTAGAGCAGAAATAAATAAAATCAAGAAGAATAAAACAACAGAAAGAATCAATGAAAGCAAGAGCTGGTTGTTTGAGAAAATAAACAAAATAGATAAACCCCTAGCCAGATTTATCAAGAAAAAAAGAGAGTCTACACACTTAAATAGAATCAGAAATGACAAAGGAAAAATCACTACAGGACCACAGAAATACAAAGAATTATTAGAGAATACTATGAAAAATTATATGCTAACAAACTGGATAACCTAGAAGAAATGGACAACTTTCTAGAAAAATACAACCTTCCAAGGCTGACCAAGGAAGAGACAGAAAATCTGAACAGACCAATTACCAGCAACAAAATCGAACTGGTAATCAGAAAACTACCTAAGAACAAAACCCCTGGACCAAATGGCTTCACCGCTGAATTTTATCAAACATTTGGTGAAGACCTAATACCCATTCTCCTTAAAGTTTTCCAAAGAGTAGAAAAAGAGGAAATATTTCCAAACTCATTTTATGAGGCCAGCATCATTCTAATACCAAAACCAGGCAAAGACATCACAAAAAAAGAAAACTGCAGACAAATATCCCTGATGAACATAGATGCAAAAATACTCAACAAAATATTAGCAAACCAAATTCAAAACTACATCAAAAAGATCATCCATCATGATCAAATAGGATTTATTCCAGGGATGCAAGGATGGTACAACATTCGAAAATCCATCAACATCATCCACCACATCAACAAAAAGAAGGACAAAAACCACATGATCATCTCCATAGATGCTGAAAAAGCATTTGACAAAAATTCAACATCCATTCATGATAAAAACTCTCAACAAAATGGGTATAGAGGGCAAGTACTTCAACATAATAA